AAAACCTCACTTCTTCAGATGCATACCCACGAAAGCTTATGCCCAAATAAATCTGTCAGTCTTTAACGTGCCACCAGACTCCTTGTTGTTTTTGTAGATACAGACTAACACGGCTACCTCCTGATAGTGTTCTTCCAGTTTTCCAAAAGTCTTTCAGGGCTACCCAGAATAACTTGAGGGATCTCTGCCTCCTTGTTCAGTTTTCTGCCCTGTTAGAATCCACACAGCCAGGAGATGAAGAATTTTTCCTTGGGTCCATATATATAGCTTCTGGCAGAAACCAAGCTGTCAGGACAGTCCCCACGTGGCTTCTTCCTTCATGGCAGGAAAAGAGGAATGTACTTAGAGACTTTGATCTTTGATTTGACACACAATGACCACTCGCTTTCAATGTGCAGGAATTAACACTCTCCTGTTAAAGTTCTTCATTTGCATTACACAAGGCTCCTCTCTGTTTGAGGAGTTATTTAATGACTGGGGTATATGCAATGCAGATGCTTGCTCTTACATTATAACAGGGGACAGATAAGGGAAAACAATGCCTGCAGCCTCCCACCCGTTCTTCATGGAGTTTAAACACTAAACACATTTTTGTACATTTCACATTTACTTTGAACTTTCCTAACATGCAAATGAACTGGCCTGCCTTGCAGGTGTGAGTTTGTCGGTTCTCAGCGGATGCCTAGGCCTTGGCCAGAGCTGGCAGTTGCCACTTACCAGCGTCACACTCCATGTAGACAAGTCCTTAGTTTGGTTTCGTTGAAGACCTTTACGCTATACTGAAATAAGCTGCTCATAAACCAAAACAAGAGCCTCCGTGCCGGTGTTTAAAAAGGGATTGACGTTAAACTGGAGCCATTTCTGCCTGGGGACAGAGCCGCTGGTTTGATTTCCTTTTCCTAGCCAGGCGGAACCAGGAAGTTCAGATGCGCCCGTAGAAAGAGTGGGGAAGTTACCCCAACTCTTCCAACCCTCAAGAAAGGGTCAGTGCTTTAGGGTGGGGGGTGAAGGCTGTGTCTGGTCCCCCACCCTCCCCTAGTAAAGTGAGGCTCCTCTGCTCTCTCGCCTTCCATTTCAGACCGTTCCTGAAATCTCCACCCTGCCCTGGTTCACCCTGCTTCTGCCCTTGAGCTTCCTCCTCCTCCTCAGAGGCCTACGGGACCTGATTGACGACATTGTGAGTACCCCAGCAGTTCGCAGGGCTGGAAATCCACGAAGGGGCTCGGTGCATGGTGTGGCTTGCTAGAGAGCCCGGGACTGAGCTGGCACTCCCTGTATCTTTAGGCCTCAGCACCCAGCATGTATCCACAATGCCTTCATGGAGGCAAGGGGCTGTGGGTATCTACCATCCTCCCTTTGGAGCGGGGATGAGTAAATGGCCCCTTCCCCTGGTCTGGCCTCTTCATGATTGACCCACGACCCTCCCCTGCTCGTTGGGGTCCCAGCCAATGGACAGGCTTCCTCTTAGATCCACAGACATATTGACCGCCCCTTTACTCCCCACGTTCACACCCACTGGGCATGCCTTGTGTCATGCTGCGTGGACGGGCTCGTGCCCGTGCATGCCTACGTCAGGGCAGGCACCCCTATAATTAGATTTTACCCACCCAGAACCAAATGTGAACTCCTGGATCGCTCTCACAGTCTGACCATGGAGTTGCAGGCAGTTCCTTTAGACCAGTGGGTCTCAACCTATTTATCATTGTGGGCCACAAGGTATTCCTTGGGCCGCAGGTGGAGAACCACAGCAACCCCCCTCCCCCCGAACCCTGCCCCCTACAGACCCCTATGCCCAGGGCCCCAACCCCCGCCCAGAGACCCCTCCACAGAGTGGGGCCAGGAGCGGACCCCGCTGCGTGGCAAGGCAGCACAGCCCCGGAAGCCCGGACCCTGCCACACAGGGCAGGGAAGGGCAGGGCAGCCTGGCAACCTCAACCCTGCCATGCCATGCCGGGCATCGGGCAGCCAGGGCTCCGGACCCCGCCGGGTTGGGTGGCCAGGCAGCCTGGCCACCACCACGCGGGCCCTGAAGCTTTTAGCACGTAGCTGGGCTGCTGCCCTGTGCTAATTGGGTCACATGCGGGCTGCAGGTTGAGAACCACTGCCTTAGATTCTCCAGCCTATCAGGGAAACTGGACTTGGTGATAAATGGTCACTTACACCAAAAATCACACAATATTCAGGTTGCTTCCAGTCCCAAGAGACCAGTCACTGACCCCAGCTCAGCTGGTTCCCTAGATCTCACACCAAAGACAACGCTTGTAGCCAAACCTGTAATAAACTATCTAAAGGTTTATTAACTAGGAAAGAGAACTAAGAGAGTTGTTTCCAGGCTAAAGCAAGCAGACAGACACACAACTGAGTTGCAATAAATCCTAAGAGTGACCGAATTGTAGTGATCTGTCACTTCAAAGTGTCTTTCAGGGTGGACCCAAGGGTAACCCCTGGCTTCAGTTTGGTGTCTCTGGCCCCGTCAGAGTTCAAACAGCAAAGAGATGGAAAGTTTTCATGTGTCTTTGTTTTATTTCCTTCATTCAGCCTCCAAGTCCGTAGGACAAGTTTCCTTGGACGTTGCCTTTCCAAGGGGCGATAGAGCCATTCACCAGTCCTTTGTATTGCGATGTTCCTTGATGGATCATCTGATTTTGATAGTTCTTCTGGCCACCAGGGTAGGGGTGGAGGTAAACACTCTTCCCATCCGGGTTCACAAGTTTAGAGTAAACATTTTCGAAGTTATAAAGCAAAACTTACGTATTTCCTTATCGCCTGGAATACAGACACTGCAAATAAGATTAATGCGTGCAGCATCTTACAAACATGCACTAGAGTTGTAACACTAGTAAATCCAGTCTCATAGGATTAATACCTATTTTGCGCAACATAAGTGAACTGGTCATGCCTCCAACTATGAATTAGTCAGTTCTTAGCTAATGCCTGCAGCCCGGGAAAGAGCTTGCCAGTATCACACCTGGAAAGGGCAGATCTCCTCGCTCTGAGATTGGAACGCCCGGACAGAGCCTGGCGCTAACAGGGATGTTCTCTTGCGGCCCCGGTGAACGGGGAAGCCAGACATGACCTGTCCCTGTCTTTTCTCCTATTTTTGCAGGCCCGACACCGGAGCGACTGGATGATCAACAGCAGGCCCTGCGAAATCTTGGTTGGGAAAAGGTTAGGGGCCTTGAGAAATGTCCAGCTGCGAGCTACAGGATAAAACTCACTGTCTACAGTCATGTTCTCCTCCACCGTGTGTTTGAAGAAGCGGGGGAGGGAGGGTGGTGGCTCTGTGCCATTGTCTGAGCGCATAGGGTTCTCCCAATTTACCAGCTGTGCTCAGAGAAGTGGCTGTGATGTGTCATCACCCCCAGGCTGCCCCACAGAGACACACCTTCCCACAACCTGGGGCAGGCCTCATTTACTCCATCCTTGGGATTAACACATCCCAGTCCCAGCTGGGATGGGGATCCAGGTGGCCTTGGTTCCACGTGACAGCTCCGCTTGTCCTAAAGGAGTTTCCTTTCCTTGGAAGGGCACCCAGAGAGTTTCTGCCACTTCTGGCCCATAGGACTCCTCAAGGGGGCACTGCAGAGTGACACCCCGGCTTGAAGTTGCTCTTCTCAGGAGGCGGAAGGGTGCAGAAGGGACTGAAACATCCCATCTGAGCCCAGGTCACTAACGGCCAAAAGTCACTGCCATCGATGGCTGCTAGGTGGTCCGCCTGCTAGGCATGGGTGGGTCTCATGCCGGTTCCCATGTCACGAAACCACCCGCCCAGCTGGTCTTCACATTGGCAGGCTTAGTGGCGTGGCTAAGGATTGGATGGGCCACAGAGATTGACGTCCCCTTTCGTCCTGGAGGTCAGGGTCGAGGTGCAGGGGCTGGGGAGGTGGGAGTGAAACTTGCCCTGCTGCTGCCCGGGCTGCCCTGTGGAGAGAGGTCTCCAGGGCTGTCAGCTCAGCACATCTCAGGCATGCTGGCCTCTTAAGCGGCTTGTTTTTCTCTTGCAGCTTTAGCTGGAAGAAATGGCGGGACATCTGTGTCGGCGACATTGTCTGCCTGCGCAAGGACAGCTTTGTCCCGGTGAGTCAGGCCCCTCGTGGCGGGCCGGGCCCCTCGCTCTGAGGCCGTACGCTGGGGAGCGGGGATGAGGGGGCCTCATCAGGAAAGTCTCTCTGAGGCCTTTTCTGTTTTGCTTTCTTTTAAAGGCTGACCTGCTCTTGCTGTCCAGCTCGGAGCCCAGCAGCCTATGTTACGTGGAGACAGCGGATATCGACGGGTAAGGAGAGGGAGAGACTGTGGGGAGACCACGGCCACCGGCTGGGGACCAGAGATACCACAGCCAACGTTCTGAGGCCTCCATATTTGGGATCCCGGCTGGAGACACCTTGCACCTGGGTTTCAGAGGTGCTGGGTGCCTGGCAGCGGTGTGGTGGATGTTCAGCACCTTCAAAAACCAGGCCCCAAGGGATTCTGAAATGGGACACCTGAAATTAAAAAACTGGGATGTGTTGCATCTGCAAAGCAGGGGACTACAAGTCCCATCAGGCCCCTCTGTACACCCTCTTTTTCCTGGCTAAGCAGGGACCATATTTCCTACCAGCCCCATCCCCTTTGCACTTCCATTCCCCTGACCGGGTAAGAGGAACGGTCCTGAGCCAGGCTGGGCTCGGTTTGGGGAGTGGGAGCCACACGGCAGCAGGGGGCTGGAGAGAAGCCCCAGGAACCATGTGTAGAGCCGCAGTCATCATGGATTTGTCAAGAACAAATCATGTCAAACCAACCCGATAGCTTTCTTAGACAGGGCGACAAGCCTTGTGGGTCGGGGGAAGCGGTAGATGTAGTGTATCTTGACTTTAGTAAGGCTTTTGATCCTGTCTCGCATGACGTTCTCATAAACAAACTAGAGAAATACAACCTAGATGGAGCTACTATAAGGTGGGTGCAAAACTGGTTGGAAAATCGTTCCCAGAGAGTAGTTATCAGTGGTTCACAGTCATGCTGGAAGGGTCAGGGCTCTGCAGGGAACGGTTCTGGGTCCGGTTCTGTTCAATATCTTCATCAGTGATTTAGATGATGGCATAGAGAGTACACTCTGATACCAAAGCTGGGAGGGGTTGCAAGTGTAAGGAGGATAGGATTAAAATTCAAAACGATCTGGACAAACTGGAGAAATGGTCTGAAGTAAATAGGATGAAATTCAATAAGGACAACTGCAAAGTACTCCACTTGGAAAGGAACAATCAGTTACACACATACAAAATGGGAAATGATTGCCTAGGAAGGAGTACTTCGGAAAGGGATCTGGGGGTCATAGCGGCCCACAAGCTAAATAAGAGTCAACAGTGTAACGCTGTTGCAAAAAAAGCAAACATCATTCTGGGATGTACAGTATTAGCAGGAGTGTTGTAAACAAGACACGAGAAGTAATTCTTCCGCTCTCCTCTGCGCTGATTAGGCCTCAACTGGAGTATTGTGTCCAGTTCTGGGCGCCACATTTCAGGAAAGATGTGGAGAAATTGGAGAAAGTCCAGTGAAGAGCAACAAAAATGATTAAATGTCTAGAAAACATGACCTATGAGCAGGGGCGGCTCTAGCTTTTTTGCCGCCCCAAACATGGCAGGCAGGCTGCCTTTGGCGGCATGCCTGCGGGAGGTCCCGGGTCCTGCGGATTTGGCGGCTTGCCTGTGGGAGGTCCGCTGGTCCCACGGTTTCGGCGTACCTGGTGCCGAATTGCTGCCGAATCCGCGGGACTGGCGGACCTCCCGCAGGCATGCCACCGAAGGCTGCCTGACTCCGTCCTCGCAGGAACCGGCAGGGCGCCCCCTGCGGCTTGCTGCCCCAGGTACGCGCTTGGAGCGCTGGTGCCTGGAGCCGCCGCTGCCTATGAGGGAAGATTGAAAAAACTGGGTTTGTTTAGTCTGGAGAAGAGAAGACTGAGAGGGGACATGATAACAGTTTTTAAGTACATAAAAGGTTGTTACAAGGAGGAGGGAGAAAAATGGTTCTTCTTAACCTCTGAGGATAGGACAAGAAGCAATGGGCTTAAACTGCAGCAAGGGAGATTTAGGTTGGACATTAGGCAAAGCTTCCTAACTGTCAGGGTGGTTAAGCACTGGAATAAATTGCCTCGGGAGGTTGTGGAATCTCCATCATTGGGGATTTTTAAGAGCAGGTTGGACAAACACCCGTCAGGGATGGTCTAGATAATACTGAGTCCTGCCTTGAGTGCAGGGGACTGGACTAGATGACCTCTCGAGGTCCCTTCCAGTCCTATGGTTCTATGAGGAACCGGCCGTGACTGCCGGATGTCTCAGGTGGGTGCAGGCCTGTGTGGGACTTCTGTGGGAGCAGCAACGGCTGGCAGGGAGCCAGGGCGGAGGGGCCCCAACGAGAGACACAAACTGAGCTTGGCTTGGAAACCTGCAAATGCCTGTTTGCAGGAATAGAGACTGGACTGGAGCGGTGCCCCGGGCCCTAGGGCTGACCAGGCCTGACCCTCGATGGGACTGTCTGGGGCCCGAACAGGAACCGCTGTTGCTCAATGTGACTAACTGTGTAAGCTTCTGTACCAAGGGTCTCTGCAACCTTCCCCGTCCTGCCCTT